CTGCCGTGCCAATTAGAACATGTTAAGCTAGGTTAAGTTCTCAGACTCCAGCACCAATGTGTGCGAATCTTAAAGGTTACATTTGTGTTGAGTCACAGGCTATGCATGTTTTTTCAGCTCACTGTTTTCAACATCACCGTCAAGCTTTGCCATTTCTACGAGCTCATTCTCGATTGCGTGTCCGCATCATGCACCCACCTTCTTGATTTACGTCATCTATTACGCACATTGGATTCCTGTCGTCAAGATAACTACGAAACCTGGCTCGTTGAGCGGCGAAGGTAGATGCGTGCCGCCAAGCGTACTTACTTGAGCTACATTCCAGTGGGTGTCCGCATCATGCACCCACCTTCTTGATTTACGTCATCTATTACGCACATTGGATTCCTGTCGTCAAGATAACTACGAAACCTGGCTCGTTGAGCGGCGAAGGTAGATGCGTGCCGCCAAGCGTACTTACTTGAGCTACTCTCATTCCAGTGGTTTCAATCCCGTCAGCTCAGTTGCGGTTCCACCCAGTGAACCTTATTCGCATTTAACGCTGTCTCCCAATCAGGCCACCGTAAATATAGTAGTATGGGTATCATGATCTTAAGGGAGCCAAAGCAGCATGTGGCTTTCGGTGATCCTCAACGGCACAGACAACATGGATGCCGGTTTGGGCGTGACGATCAAACCCAATTAAACCAGAGAAACTACGAAAAAACTATTGACGTTAGGTTTTCAGTACTGCGGATGACACCAAGCTGGCCACACGCTGACGAAGTATAACAAAACTAAATGGTATACAACGCCAAGTGAATTATTTCCGTTATCAAGGTTCGAAAACTGAGCAATAAGCAGAGACTACGAAAGTACACATGAGTACTGTTTAAGATTTTAGATCCTACCCATAATTTTAAAGTAAGGGTTAATCAAACTCCGCATTCCCCTACCGTCATCTGTTCCTAGAAACGAAGTGGCACATGCAAGTGGCAGACCGGCCGGTAACCTAAAGAAATCTGAAAGTCCCTGTCACAGATGGTACATGGTTCATCTTTGGCAATATTCAGATACGTTCCAAGTAAATAAGTAGGACAACTCCTAAACGACTCTTCCTTCATTGCATCTGATGCTCGAAAGTGCAACAACGGTGTAAGAACGTTTGTCTCACAGGAAAGAGCGAGCCTCCGGCCTATCTCCAGAGTGTGCGCTTCCAAGAAGGAAGACTGTACAACACGACCGATAACAAGCAGTTCGTTGGATCATTCCAGGGTATACTGGAGAACTCTTAGAATAAAATGAAAATTATGATAAAATCTACCTTGTCAGTGACGACTCGGAGATCAGTGTTGAAAAGCGCCTTCAAATGTCAGTTTCCTACCGGAAATACACGAATAAAAATCCAACGCATACCACCGACACAAAATGTTGTCACTTAGATCACAAACATAGGAAGTTCCAATGTGCTGTGACCAAACGATGGAAGCAATGTTTGAAAAACAAGATATTCGCACTGTGTATTTGGCAAAACATTCAACCGGTTCTTTCAAGCCACTCAAATTACACCTGGACAACTCCATGACCAGCAACGGAGAAATGTCGGTTTTTTAGTAGTAGCACAGATAACATACGACGTGGGGCGGGATTCTAAAAGTGATGAGATATCGACAAAAACCATCAATGAAGATAATAAAGGATTTGTAGCCTTTTTCTCACAATACACAACCCAAAGCACTGATGGGAACCCTTGTGAGTAGTCAATTAGGTCAACGACAATACTACGATTGCCTGAATGTCTCACCAACTGAAAACTGAGGGATCCCTTGTTCAATGCACTCAGCTGGAGAATACCAAATATGGGAGTATCATCAGACGGTTTACCCCAATGTACGTGGTTTTCAGCTGAACTTGTGGCAGATTTCCAGTTGCAAGGATCAACAACAAAACAATGAACCGTTTGGCTATGTGCTGATATGTCAACCCTACCGAACAAGACGGAATTCATTGATGTTCAACCAACATGCATCCGTATCTTTGTGAATACGACCGAAACCTAGCTGTATATACGCTAGCTATGCTAGGACCACCGAACCATTCAGAAATTATGGTTGCAGGAGTCAGTATCGAAGGTGATCAGAATTTCCTAGATGCGTTGATTAGCTCCGCTACTATTACCGAGACACAGGCTCGTCTGCTCTCCACTCTAGATGAACCATACTTTGTCTGATTCGGAATGGTCATACGCGAGTCAAGCACCCTTTCGATATCTTATGTGCTCACGTGTGCTGTACTGACAACCCATTACAACCGTAAACTTGTGTTGATTGTAGTAGCCGATATGAAATTGGTGTGGTCTCACTGCATCAGTTTCCAAGCGGTTCAACAAGTTCGCCTCCCACAACTCCATCGCCCCTGGTAATACAGAAACTTCACGATAAAATTGGAAGCGAAATGATAGCTTTGATTTTGCGCTACGAATAAATTATAAAGAATGCCAGATGGCCAACATTTTATCACTCAGGTACAGTACAATGAATTTTCGCCCATATTCTCATTTCCAAAATCCATCCTGGACCACGCTAAGCATTGCCACTTGTCTTCGGGCTAATATGTTCTTAGGTTGCTATGTAAGCATGATCTAGAAAACAACCTCAGCTTTTTGAATGCCGACACACTATCGCGTCAAATCAACAAGTCGATTAAACAACAATCGCATCAGTTCCATCAGGTAGCGGAATTCAATTCCAGTTGAGACAATAGCAGTAGAAGTGACGCTCTGCTTCAGAAGGTGATTGGATATTCCTGAAATCGATAGCCTATGGAATTACTTTCTGCGCAATGGTGACGTGAAAATCGCAGGTGATTTCCTAATGTTGGATGATCGTTTTGTCATATCACGGGAAACAAGTGCTGAAACGGTTCCATAAAATCACCTTGGATTTAGCAAATTCAATGTCGTCGTTTGGAGATGTGCAGCTATCAGCTGTTAAGTTAATCCCCATGTTGTTTCGCCGGTTTTCTTTGCCGCAACTTAAAAACCAGTGGATTTCGCTGGTCTGATCGTGACTGTTGGTGGTTCTTTCTCAGAGTGGCCCGTGTTAATGATAAGCCAAGCTTTGGATATGATATTCATTTTTAGCGAATCATTAGCACTCTTTGTATATGCGATACTTCTGGTGAGAGATAACAGGGAAGATGAGTTTGTTCAGTTTTCTTACTTCTTCATAAGTTTAACATTCGGGTAATTCGTCCTATCATCCGAATCCCAACGGTCCAGCTGTGAACTTTGTTGACAACCTCAAACGTGGCCTGTGAATCTCGGAAGAGGAAATACTAAACAGAACATGCAGACGTATTAGGTGACACCCTGTGATTCGATAGTCAATCTGCAGTGGGTAGTTGTGGATATTTATTCCCGGAGGTAGACCCACAAGTTTTACGTTTGAAAAACTGCCGTATGTAGGAACACCACCAGGTAGTGTCGTGTTACCCCATTAGCACGCATGTTCGTGTAATAAATTTTCAAACGTCGAGATGGGACACCTGAAGTAGCTGCACGGTGCACCGAAAGCTTATTATAAAAGGATACTTTTGAAGGACTCATCTGGATGCCCCAAGTCAGTCTAGTGGCATCCGAAAGAACCACCTAACAGTTTATCGTCAGAGTTTACTATCTGCTTTTGTGTTTTGAACTTGAACTTGAATGGGGTATGAGACGCGAGTAAAAGAATACTTCCCCAAGAACACATTCGACGTATTAAGTAATCCGATGACTGTCACAATACGTTTGACTGGAATCTAACTTCTATCGCCAACACCTTATGTACTATTACAGCGTATGTGAGACCCTGCTCGAAGATTTGCTGACTATACGAATTCGGCCAGCCTTTGTTTACAAAAACACCTCAGCCTGACCTTGCGTCCGTCCTGGTTGACCTGACCATTCCATTAGGAATTTCTTATATTGATTTTTACGCCAGTTTATTGATACCTATCTGAAATGTAATGCAGTTGGCAAGGTGATTGCAAACGGTATCATTTTGCACCGAGTGTCTTTATTGGGATATTCATGTTCTTTCTAATCGAACTAATTCCAAGTAATACCGTCAAGATCGCAGATGCGTTGTGAGACAATAAGCGGTACACCCACACAGCACTATTTTATACGTTGACTGTCCGAGGACCATGCAGAGTAGAGTACGCTCACTCCAGACTTATGCTCAATCCCTTGGTTCACCCGGCATGATCACGAAACCTGAGATTGCCATGTTATCCAAGCTAGGGCAACTGAGGAAACCTTCGCACAGAAACATGATTCTTCACAATTGAGACTTTTTGAGTCTAGCTCCAAACTACATAACACTCTACTGGGATAAAATTCATTAGTCAATGTGGAGATACTGCTGATAGAACAGAGATATATGAAATAATGACTAGCAGCTGATAGCGCAGCCCGTCTTTTATAAAAACCAATGCAATGAGATTACACTGATTCGCGAGCCCATCGACAGTAACTATTACGGTCTTGTGCCAGGTGCGTAAAGACGGCACCTCTAGTGAGTTATGGTAAAATAAATGACTGAACTAGCACAGTCATAAGGACACGCAAAACCAAACGTCCAATACATAGGAAAATGGAAACTCGCTCCCCTGATACAACAAGAAACCCTAGAAAAGAAATATTGGGCTAACGAAGAGGTAGATGAGCGTTGCCATAGTGCCGAGGCTGACCAGTTTGCTAGATGCTAAATAGCTTTCTCGTGAGTTAAATTAGTTGATCTGCGCTGATTCGGGATGAAATGTTTGAAGGTCAGAAAAATTAGATAGCTATGTCACGTGGGAATTTCTGTGTAACAAAATTCAGAACTTCCAACCCAGCATAGCACGGTTCATTCTGACAGAATCGTCGATTAAGGTCGTTCTATGATTGCGCGTTGGCGACTCGCGAGGTTGTATTCTTATCGACTGAAATAATTACTCAGCAAACATCAGCACAAACAAAAAACAATCAAACTCGATGAAACTGTTACTATTCGACAGCAGATTGGTAGATGGTAACAAATTGCAAGTAGTCTTAAGCTATTCACACAATATTGTCCAGAGACTGTGGTTACTCTAGTTGAGTTATTGAATGACCGCATTTAATGTCCACTGTCGCCTGATAGACATCAGCCCTGTGTACTAAACAATGGGTCGGAGTAGATGAGCTGCACAAAATATGTGGAGGCCAACGAGGACGAAGACGGGGGAGCTCGGTCAATTCAATACTTACAAACCTATAAATGAAGAAAAAGAAAATATCATAGGTGCTTCAGTGGCATTCATCAATCCAGTGTGAACGTATGGAAGGCGGTAAAAGTGAGAAGATTCATGAGAGGGTGAAGAACGATTGGACGGTTGTGAGGCAACTTGAAGCGAAAACAATATGGGTCACAGAGAACTGGGCAAACGTAACCAAACCCAACAATTTTATCGGCCTTTTCAGGAGAGGCTAATCAGATAAGAAACGTGGGTGGACGATCACAGTTGACAATAAAGATGCGTGGTTAGGACAGTCACGCGCGATAGCTTGTGACCATTTGCTGCAATCAATCTACTTTCACGGTTGAATAGATTTTCCGGACAAAGCGACTGGCCGCTAAATATGCAATGGAGCCTGAAACAAAGAAGACCGGTAATTAGATTTTAGCATGTACAGGTTAGAGTGCGTAAAAACGTAAGTGGTCAATGCTCCTTCAAACACAGTCATGTGAAAGGTCTGACTATTCCAGCATGTGTGCGTGACCCTGAATTACCGGATGGATAGACTGCTCAGGAGATTAGTTACACTGGCTGTTCAGCTCGGGAAATGGGGAATTTTTCGGTTGCGGCCACCTTGAAAAGTCCTTGGAAAGATTAGCTGATTGGTGAGATGTGAGACGACCACGTAGCTTGACAAGAAAAAGAGTAATGGAAAGGATAAAAATATAGTCTCACTGTGGAGATCAGACATCCAAGTGGACGAGGAAAGTACGCGTCACAGACAACATTTGTGACGACACACCACAACCTAGATATCAACTTGTCCTCAAAGCCAGTGATTCGAGTCCAACGGTTCAAACGAAGACGGCAAAGTAGAGAAGCACGGATGATCAACACTGGTGTCGCCTTCCATGGCCTCATATTGCTCCTTAGCCACTGGACAAAGAACCGTGAGCTCCGCAACAAAAACGATTATTTCCATAGAAAATCGAACGCACATTGAATTTAAGTTGTAGCTATGCATTACTTTACCTACTAATATCCAAACTACTGCTGTATTAAGAGGTAAACAGATTCATAGTGTAAAGTCAATAAACTAGGTGTTCCATTTGTATCACTTACCACACAAGACGCCCAAATACATGCAGAACAATCCCATATAAACGAAGAAGAACGATGTCTGAAAGAAGCCATTCATCCTAAAAGAAAAGCACAGAAAAGCATTGCTGGGTCTGGAGAAATTACAATAGGCTAGTCGCTTCAAACAGAACCTACATACCTCGCTCAACATGCAAATTTACTGCATATTATTTTAAAAAATCCGCGGCATCTACACTTCTCACAATGCGACGGTCTACGTAGACTCGCTAATCCACAAGACCGGGAAGTGCGATAAAAGTTTCTCGTATTGCTAATCATAGGCTGACTCACGGTTTAAAACAACCCACCCACCATATGACCTGTTACAATAACGACAGTGAAATCTGAGTTTTGAGGTATACGATCACGAAGGTAGCCTACCAAAACAGATAGACAACAAGAACAGCATTCGATGCTGTGTTTTTAGGAGATCGATGATAACCCCAGAAGTATGACAGACCAGGGGGTATCATTCAAATGACCAGTGAGGAAGAATACTGTGTCATTGACACGGATGGAAAGGACTGCAAAGTTTAGTTGGTCTGTGAAAAGAATAAGACTAAGTTTCCAACTTTAATGCGACACGGATTATTATATGACATTACCACATGAACAGAATTTGTTTGTAGGAGCACACAATGAGTATCCAGTTGTTTCACCACCAAAAACAAAGCACGTGATGCACATGTTTGGGTGGATAATTTCAACAGACGTTTAGTAAGGACATCATTCATCGATAACGAAAGCTTATGACGTTCCGGTAAAACGTATGTCAAACTGTAAAGTACCAACCAGATAGGTTGTGTGCCAATTGATGTGTACAAACTTATCGACTACTAATTCGGTTGAAATGCCGGCTTGTTCCACTACTCAGTGGTCTGAGAAATGGTTTAGAAAGCATGTAGAGCAGTGATTACATAAGATTACCAGACCGTAGTTGAGGTATGATAATGAGAATCACCGCCAACAACTAAAACCGAACCGTTTTTTTTTAACAAATTCAAAGTGAGATGGATAGTTCTGAGGTCGGTTGATTCCACAGTTAAGTGACCACAGATGAATTCGGGCTACATAGCAAACACAGTAAAGAGTGACCCTCAACCGACTGGCTCTCCAATTTCCATTCATCTGAACCGTACCGAAACCAAGTGTCACATTGATGAGTTCCTCAAAGACGATAACAAACGATGAATGGCTGACAACCTTCGGAACAGTTACGATGGAAGCCTAAAACCTCGTTCGAACCCACAAGGACATTTTTATAGGAGCTTGCTGCTTAAAGGAACCCCATAAACAAAGAACCGGATCCATTTCCACTACATACGCACGGTCTTGAGCTCAGTCAAGACAATATAAGAAAATGCAGCTTGCCAACAGGATACAACGAGCAGAACTCACTTAGTTTTGAAGATGAAGTAATATGCCGAATAAAGATAGGCGTAGATGGAGATGGACGCACCAGACATGAAGCTGGTCCACTGCCTAAAATACAACAAATCGCAGATGATAGTTCAAAGGATGGTAAACAGATAGTAGTAAGAGAATCGTGCATTTCAAGGAGAGTATTCGGTGGTTGGTTGCTAGAACCTAAACAGCTGTTCAAAAACATGCTGCAGCTTAATACGTGGTCAATGCAAACTGTCCGTGGAAGGAAGCCGCCCTTATCTAATCCGATATGAGATTTCATTGCGTCTGATGTGCTATAGCAGGAGTACGTCCAATACATCGGCCACAACAGTTGCCATGCTGGTATCTCGGTGATTTTTATATGACGTCCTATAATATCCCCGCTAAGTTCATCACCTCAACTTTTTTCGTAGCCTGCTATCGGTTGACCGAGGGCATCTCAAAGATTCTCCCGCTGACTTTCACTTTATCCTGAAGCGCGACGGGTCAATCGGAGAAGTAACTAATAGCCGCCAACATTCGTAGCTGCTTCCATGCTAAAGACCATTTCACACCAGCAACCCGTACGATATTTTCTGGCCTAGAGATGTAGCCTGTGGGAATGGGAAACACTGATCACATGTACCTGGTAGGTAGCTGACGCCATGACGTAGATTCGCAATTTGGAGCGACGGCCTGTCGAACAGACATCTTTAAACTGACCTACGACAAAGATCCATGGGACAGTAACAGCTTAGTAGTCGGATAACTGGTGACCGCATATATGAGCTGGAGGCGCTTCTCCTGGCCTGCACAGAGAGGATCATGTTGATCCGTTTAATAAGTCTCAGTTTGTGCCACGAGGTGCAGTGAGGTGTAAATATTGTGTGGTCCCGTCAGCACTTATTTCCGATTTATGTTCCAAACTTTGGCCCGATGTCAATGAAGCTGCTAGTAGGAGTTGCTCTACTGGAGAAGCTGTGTGACCACCGGTATTGATACCCCCTCGGAGGTTGGAAATAAATCGAGATACCACAAGCCGATTGATTAAGGCGGTTCGTCAACCGATCATTGTTTCATTAGTGTTGTCAAAATCCGAACTTCGCAAAGACGTAGCCAATGGCTTCGTTCGAAGCGTCAATTAGTGTTCCAGTCGTCTGCAACCATCAAAATAACTCGGTTGAGGGTGTGGTTGATCACTTCGCATAGCTCACAATAGAAATCATCTTCAAAAGAAACGTCCAATGAAGAAGTAGGACCATAGATGACCACAACGACCAAGTTCACCGGAGTCTTTGAGACCAGTCGTCGCAATCCCGGACGATGCTGGCTCCCAAAAATAAGGCGTTGTAAAAGTAGTCAGTCGTTAAGGGCAAGAGTAACACTTGGTTCTTTATGGTATAACCAGTAGGAAGAGTCCAACCCTAGGATCTGAATGTGAATCCAAACAGAAAATCAAGCTTCCGCAAAGCCAACTTCTTAGTCAAACAGGCTTAGCATAGTGACACACTGCGCACAATTCACCGGCAAAATGGATAAAAGTAACAATTTACTCAGGAACGAAAATCGCCAGTAAAATCACCTGCCATTTACCAGCACCAACTAATCAATGAAAAACGAAAACCCTTAATTTTGACCACATCCAAGGGTACAGTGATAATATTGACAGGAAACGGCAAACATGACTGAATGTTCGCACAAACGTTGCAACGTACCATCTGTAATCCTCGGAATTGAGTAGGAAGTAAGTGCCTACTGCAGAGACGGACGAACATACAGCCATCAACAGCAACAGAACCAGTAACGTGAAGCCGAAAACGAAGTAGATTTTGTAAGCCCAGAATGAGGTGAAAATGAAATAGCTGAAAAGAGATGAAATGATAAAATACTAGATTTTGGTTCACAAACCAAGTTAACAATGAAACATATAGATAGGAGATACCAGTGAGTAATTCTCCACTAACTGCACAAACACGAGATGAAGCATACTCACCAGTTCGAACTAACAATTAACTATCTAAAAGCTTCTTCATAACAATTTAAGTTCAATAAAGCTGTTCATCGTCTTCGTGTCCAAATTTGTGGTTGATCACATCAGTTCGAGGGGTTCCGAAGCAATATACCGAAACGACAACCAGAAAAAGGCCCTTAGACTTGAACTAAGTGAACAGCTTCTAGTTAGTTGACACATTGGTCAGTAAAGTCATCCTCAAGTAGCGTGAAAACTGGTTCCGGAGCCTGAGCGTACAGGGAACACTCGAGAAGCAGAAGCCTACCACGAAATTCCCAGTTTATTTGTATTTCCGGAAGAACTCTTGCAAAGAATCTCAATTTGTGAATTGGTTTATCATGAGAAATTCCTCAGTGCTCTATGCGCCCCATTGTGGCGTCCAGAACGAGAGCTCCTCCAGCTGACAGAATACAGATGCAAACTGATTTACGGCTACAAGACCCAACCAGTGCGATCTTGAACCAGCGATAATGGTCAACAGTCATCACCAGGTCAATATATCATCAGTTAGGTTTTCATGAATGACAGCATGCAGCATCCATAAGGAGTTAGTAATCTTTAAATTCTAGTTGTCAATATGAAGGTATCTTCAAGTAACTTGCTCGTTTGTGAATAACAGATACGCTGCAAGAGATTTCATGAAGAAGTCCACGACACATATAACACGGGCTGTGTAATCAAACGCATCATCGCGAGCAAATTGGTCAACTGGCTCTCTCCTTAGAAATACAAAAGATAACCAATTAGGCGGAAGTGTGAAGGTTCCGGAATACAAACAGACCAAGTAATATAATACAGGAACTATTTGAAGGGAATCACAAGAGATAGAAGTTTGTCAGCCTGCCAAAATCATGTTCGACGGATAGAGTAGAACTAGTAATGCTGTGTGAGACCTATTTTGGTGACAACCAAACCTGCACGCTCGTTTTTCTGATTACACAGTGCGGATCGATATCAACCATTGTCCACTTTCTTTTAATTGACATAGCTTTACCGGACACAAGACTTCGAAGGCCATTTCGGGATCAACTTAACAACCAATGTCCGTCAAGAGTGTTGACATGGAACTCAAGTTGGTGGCGCGGTCTTTGCAGTTAATGATGCCGGACAATGTTCTCGGACAGGTTCTGAAAACTACCTTCATTTTCAACTCATACTCCATTGCAGAGGAAAAAGGAAAGAAAGTACAGCCACAGTAGGTCAGGAAGTATAGGCCGGATGTGTACTTGAACCTTTGAGCATAAATAGGTAATGTGTAAACTTTATTCCAATCCGTACTACACTACAGATGTGTAACAACGAGTATCATCCTTTAGACTAGAATCTTACCCAATTAGTCACCCATAAACAGCCACTTATCGGTAGTCTACGGATGTGCTTACACTGACGTTCTACCGTGTGATAAACTATGAACTGCCTCAGCAGCGTCGGCTGCAGATTACGCAGCCCGTTTCTCGGCGATCTCATGAGAAGAGACTTTGCTCGGTTCACTAGCAAGCATCGTACTTCAGGTTAATGGGAACATAAACACGGGAGTTAGTCTCGTCCGGTCCACGCCCCGTTAAACTGAAGCAGCGGTTCATCGTTGAAGCAGCAGATCGAAGCGAGTCAGTCTACTTTAACTTTCTTGTGATGGGACTTCAGTGCGAACCACACCACTACTATTTTGATATCCAACCATTCTAGGAGATCTGTATTTGTATTGACTGAATTCAGTGCGGAAGAATGAAAAAGCAGTTATCGAAACGTACCCAATAGCACTGCTTAACGAGCGTTGGCTATAAGGCCTTAGTATATCGACTCCAGTTCCGTACTGACCCACTTTGTGGACGGTGGTTATCAAATTGACCCCAGGATAGCCTTCAGTCATGTATTGATAAAAGTCAAGCTAAAGAAAAAGATATGGAAAACGGTTGCTAGCGCCGCTGAGGTCCTAGAAACAACAGTACTGCCCATTCGGAAAAAATACAGGTTTCGTTGTTGCCATGACTCTGAACTGACAGGTCGATGGAATCATTGCAATCGACTGGTATGACGACAGGTTAACAAACCCTCTCTTCTGATCCATTTTGAATGGTTCCTGTATTGTTGTCTTACCCGGTTGCATTCCGGAAATTCTATCATGTCACTTATCTATTCTCTTTGTTGCACGATTGTACGTTTGTTCATGAACATGGGTATGGGTGGACGAGTTCGTCATCTGGGTTCACAAGGTATCTTCAATTCAGCCGATGACTAGCGGCTTAAGATTGCATTCTCCCTGAATGTTCACTCTCAAGTACGGCAACATTAGTTGCACAGCAGTTAGCAACACTCATCATCGTCGATAATTTGCCTGGCGATCTATGGAGGATGTTTTGTTTGCAGACACTGATGGATTAAAGGGTTCTGTTCATCTGACACGAGTGATCTGGTAGTTCCTTGTTACAGCTTATGCAGAATCCATTAAGCGAATGGTCAAAGAATTCTGGAGTGGTCGCCTCAGGAAAATCTGGTTATCGTACGGATCCTGAACGACTAAAACCATAGAGTGAAGTTTAGTCTCCAAAAGCTCACGGTGAATCGAGGTTGATTCTCGAATCGAGTGAGGAAACAAACTATACCGATTAAGTAATAAGAAAATGTATAAGAGAATGCCGACACAAATTGAAGACGGCAACGGTAGGGAGTGGCATCGAAATAAACGACTGGCTTAGCCCGGATTAAATCAGTGTTCCACGGGCTTTTGAGAAAGTATCTACAAGCAATTACTATAAATCTGTAGACAGAAAAATGAAAGTAGGAGCAAACAACGGGACCTGCAACAACCGAACACTTACAGTTCAATGAAAATAGATCCAAAAGGAAGCATGCCAGTCACGAGGATAAGGAAGCCGGGCTCCATGAACCACTTCTTCTCAGGTATCGGGCGTGGAACGGAGTTGATACGACAAGGATAGTTCGCCTGACCACACAGGTTACGACCCAATACGGTGCCAACGAGATTGAGAGGGACAATGACGAAAAGGAGAATGGCGACCACAGCCAACATGGTCAAAAAGGGAATTGACCGGCTGGTCTGATAGTATACAGCAACTAAATTAACCAGGAATGCCGCCGCAAACGTCAAAATCGGGAGCAGAGTGGATCCCAACAGGAACTGGCGAATCCATTTCTTACCTAGCAAGTGGAAACAGACGAGCTATAAAGCCATCAGAAGAAACAACACCTGAATGTTGGTTACTCTATTGGATTGATTGATCTTAGCTTCATGAATGGGGATGTAGAGAAGACGATTGTGTCTGGTCGACGACGGTCCTTGAAACGGCTCAGAATCCCAACCAGTGTAGCACTTGCTAAGAGATCCTCTGAGCAACCAAGAGTAACTTTTCCCCAAAAGCTTCTATGTAGTGCTGAACACAAGCCTCGTATATTACACTAGGCTATAGTGAATATTTACATATAACATGAGCAACAGTAGTATCTAACCACGTTACCTGTTGTATCTTTACAGTAGCACGGATCAAAGGGATCAATAACACTTCAGCAAAAATGCCGACAAAGAGCAGCAGCTTGTATGTGCTCTAAAAACTCAGTTTATGACAACAGCTGAATAGCAGTAAACAAAAGCTATCTGAATCCCGAAGGACCCGGCTTAGTTATTGCCCGCCCAACTCTCGCGAAGACAAACTTTCCTCAAAAGCAGACTACAGCTATGTGGTAGATTCCTCTCTTATGTATTCGTAAACAATACATTTTCCGTATCGCAGCACAATAGTCATAAAGTTACTGAGAACTCGTCGACACCTCATTACCGGTTTCGCTCTTGTTGAGAATCATCAGGTAGGCGTGGTCCCAGAGATTCCACTCTCCAAATGTGATAAATGCCCAATGATAGCAGTACACGGCGAGTGTAACTCCCTATTGAAAGGAGGGAGCACACTAACTCTCAATTACGGCAAGATACAGCCGTGTGGGGCACGAAATCATCCAAGGTCACCAGCCACCACGTAGGACACACGCGGATGTGCAAACATGAGAACTGCACTGGAACAGACGATGAGTAGTGCTGGGGACAACAGGGCGTACGCCGATTCCTGAGAACCTCCAAGTTCGTATCGCAACACAGTCCTGCTCTAGCTACGGCCTTTCTAGTAAACCAAGCATACTGTACTGACCACGGTCAGTAGTATACATCGCGAACAGTGACGGTTGCGTGCCATGATTCAAAAATGATATCAGACGCTAGAGCTTAACGTACCACCATATGCTTGCACGGCATCCCAGAAAAATGTGCACTGAGACAAGGAATGTACCGAATTCCTGAGACAATAAGAACCAAGTAAGGAGTTTAGCCCTCGCAAATGGCTTCTTAGTCTCATTTACCATGATTCGTTTGTCTCAAACAATCAGTGTGCCAGCATGCAGTAATACTGTCTCTTCAATGGCTTGGCGGCCACTGATACAAATTCCCTGATTTCAAAATCTACAGGCCCTCCATTGAAAGCGTGGCTTTTAAAAAAATAGATATGTGGTACCTCAAATGGATGACTGTGCACTTCTTGAGCATGGCTTTCTAGCTGTCCGCTTGTCATCCGTCCAATCAATAATCCTGGCAGTTTTATTGAATCTCGATGACACGATTTCGCCTTCCGATTCTCCAACTGCTAACTGAAACTGAAATTCTAGCTCAACATTACGAAGCTCCTAAAGGGATAGGGTGTTCAACAGGGGAGTGGACGTTTTCTACGAACAACGACTTCGAGAAATTCGACTTATTGCAGATGGTATTCTGAAGGAATAACAATGGAATAAATCACTTTTCGCGTGTCGGGCACAGCGATACAATGTATTAGAGAATTTGTCAGGGGAAGGGATAGTTCACAGTGGGTAGCAGATCACGTAAGAGGGCAGTGTTTGTAAAACTAGTGAAGATAAATCGAGAGTCTCAGAGACAGTATGTTGTAGGAGGGTTACTCAGACGGAACCACGAGTGACAAAGTAAACGATACACCAATTAACGGGGGTTGCTGTTTTCAATCTAGTTGGGATAGTACCGCGACGTAAAAAAAAATGCAAATTCCTGACTAAAAATAACATTCAAGTCACAACTATTACGAAAGAGGAAAGTAGGGTTACTTACCAGACATCTGTGCATACAAACTTCCACCCACCATTCCGTTGATAGGGGCTGAAGCTGCGAAAACAAAAATTGCCGTAGACATGAATCCTCCACGTTCGGTATAAAGGCGATTAGTTACTGCCAGGAGAAGGACGACACAGGATACGACGGCTAGGTGAGCACCTGAACCAATGACACTAGCTAATAAACCTGGGTAGGCGGGTTGTCGAAAAACGTCACCATGAACCTGCTTCCAACCGTATTCATCGCCCAGTTCCCGATCCTGAAAAAGGGGAGAACGAGACGAGTTGTTGCGTGCCGGTATATCCAGTTGCCAAATTTCCAATAAGGCTCCACGAAGTCCGTTAGATGATACATACCATTCACAGCTGGTTGGGTTCCTCAAAACAGGCGGCTTAGTTTACGCACGACCATCAATACACTCCAGTTGTTAATGATCAAATCTATGGTGGTTCCAAACAAGTTACCGTGAGCATCAGCGATCAAGGGATACCAACTATGAACTAAGTTCTGTTTCAGAACCATCTTGAGAGACTAACTCCCAGAATACAGCACTTTGGCAGACACTTGAAACTTCTTTGCCTGTTACGTTCTCTCCTCGCAGAGAGCGATTTTGATTCGTCCCTTCATATTGTATCTCTTCAGAGGGACCACTGTGGCGCGATCAAGCAGCGAGACAGATGATGTTTTGCATCATAGAGTGATATTCCATATTATGAAAAGATGGGTCATGGTATGCACTACGAAAAAGTGTAGTGCTCGTGGCCGTAACAACACTTGAGTTGACAGTGAGCATATTCAATTTGGGATGGTGCACGAAACCTGCTGTCCGAGGGTGGGGAAGGCTTGAAAACAAGCATATGCATGGAGCCATAACATTCTGAGACGTTCAATGGCAACCTACTCGAATAAAGCAAGAAGATTACGCTACCGCTTAGTATCCTGAGCGAAGGCATCAAGGAAAGAGTAACCAAAGACTTACTAAATCACTAAGTCCATCTTCCTTGTTATACCTTGCGTAGTCTCGTCGAAGAGTGCGGAGTAAAATCATGGAAACCAGACCAACCAGGAAAAGTACCATCATGAAAGAATTGAAGATAGAGAACCAGTGAATCTGTTGGTGTTAGAGTCGGTAATATCGAAAAGATCACCTTATGTTCGAAGAAATCGAAATCCAAATAGTGATTGAAACGGTCTTCGAAAGGCACCGAGGATGGGATCCATGTGACCTTGAAAATCAGTGAACAAAAGCAAACACGATGCCTGTGTAATTCTTGATATGTAGACATGGCGAGTAATGCCAATGAATTTGAAAACCAGTCTAGAAGGTAAACAGGAACGGGTTCTTAAAGCAGCCTATCTGAGATAAACAGGGTAAAAAACAGAAACAGTTGGCAAGCCAGGTAAGTCCACATCGAAGTTGAATCGACGCATCAAAACAGAAAAAGAATAGGTACCCTGAACGGCGATCCATCCTACATCTCACACTTAGAGTATGACGGCGCTTTGACGAGTGGGTTGCACTAAATTCACTATAAACGGAGGTCGCTCAGATAAATAAATAAATGAAGAAATAAATAAATAATGTGTAAGCATACTGCCTCAGAATGGTAGAGTGTTACTCCCCCAAGTTAAAATACATTGCTGCACGTTGAATGGAAACCGAAATGGAGCTCGAGATAGCTCGGTGGTCAAAGTGCTAACATACTGACCTGAAGATCCGAAGTTCGAACCTAACTTCTGGATTCCAACGGCATCTGTCTACGCTTTGGTAACCTGACGTCGTTCGGGTGGCACCGTAGCCAGGTACCAAAAGGGTTATAGCTAAAGGTTCACCATTACCCTTATTTAAATCGGGTATGCACTTCACGATATGTTCCCCCAGTGACTATGTGTTTCGAGCACAGCTGTCACAACGCTTGTTCTACCACAATAAACGTCCGCACCAGTTGGAAAACTCTATCAGTGATGGTACGGAAAACGAGTAACCGTTAAAAATTGCCGGGACACATTTACCCAGTCGCCTATATCTGGCACTGCATTAAGGTAATAGTCTATCAGGGCAGCCCAGATGGCGTAAGGCAAATTGAACTCACACTTGGTGAGGGGAAAGCTCACAACTGGTGCACACTTTTAACTACTACTAGCAGGCAATGCATTAAACACTGGTATCCTCCACAATCTGGCCTCGGAGATCTGGCGGGGTGCTTCAGTTGAGTTTCTTCACTGATAACCACAGTTTCATGCAATTAAAAACTAATGCCACCTTGAGACAAACGCTGTTCCTCGGGTCAGAGGAGCTTGCTTTCCAAAGAAATCGAACGCCGGATCCAACTATCCGGCATCCGACCCAAGCACACTAGGAAGAAAATGCCTGAAAGGTAGAAGACGGAGATCCTTGAGTATCACAGGTTTATTTTTCATCCTCCCATTGAGAATGAAGGATTTAAGGGATTTCAGGCTCCTGACACGACTGTAGTTTGCCAAAAGCAGAGGCTGAGGAAACCCAGCACCGCAATTCGTCCCCAGATTAGTCTTCGAACTTGATTTCAGCACGAATATAGCCGAAAGGACGGATCTACTAAGAGGCAGGCTGTTCCTCAGGTCACACCGAAACCCTGCAGTTCTGGAAAATTCCAGCAGAGGGACAGTGTGTTTGGGGCAAAAAAAAGGGTGTTTTGGTTTATGGTGGTCTCTCTTATAGACCCAGCAAAAGCAATCACTCCTCGGATTGAGCGGGTATAAGATATTGAACCGGAACATCTACCAGGTTTCCTAGAAGGGCGTTGTCTCCGTTGGTGGGCCGCTGAGGGGGACGATGAGCGATAAGCTACTGGGAACTAAGCATTTTATGCGGCGAAACAATTACGGCAATTATCCTCGAAAAAAAAAACCAGATTCATCATCATCATCATCATTGTCAGCTGTAAGAACCGCGTACTCGTCGTACACTGATTGTAGCTGCCACAGTTTCGTTCACCGATTATTGGGGGGGGGTAGGTAGCTGCGCATTGCACGCGCGAGCTGGTAAATTGGTGCATAAATCCAGTGGGCTGTCAAGTGAGGGGGTTGGAAAAGGAGCTATGCATTGAAGGCAATAGCTTTGATGCACGAGCGCCATTGAGGGCGCGACTGGGTCATGTCTGATAATTTCCCTAGCCATTGATGTAGCCCGTCCAGGGAGACCAGCGCAGCTGAGTTTGCTGGTAATGGTTTTCATACTTCGCTGCCAAGTCATTGTTTGACCGCCTCTGGCTCTCTTCCACCCTTCACATGGTTGGGCGAAAAGAGCCCTTCGAGGAAGTCGGTCGACTGGCATACGCAGCACGTGGCCAAGCCAACGCAACCTGTGCAGTGTGATCAGTTCATCTATCGAGGGTGAGTTATTTCTCCCGAATACCATTCGACGTACTTCAGAATTGCTGATCCGGTGTTCCCACCAGATTCGGGCAATGCTACGAAGACATCGATGGTCAAACACTGAAAGTCTTTTGGCGTCCTCGGCGCGCAGCGGAAGGTTTCTGATCCATATAGTAATATGGAGCGCACCGCAGCATTGTAAACTCGACCCTTGACAGAGAAACTGATGTCACGCCTACGCCGCAGGTGACGTTGGTTCGCAAAAGCTGCTCTGGCCTTCCCAATACGGATAGAAATATCATCTTTCGCGAGACCACCGGGACTGATACAGCTGCCCAGGTAAACAAATTTGTCTACTATCTCAATCGGTTTATCCGCAAGCATGAGGCTAGGGTTCGAGCCCACCCAGTCTTGCAGTAGCACTTTACAGATTGGCCTAGCAGTTGAGCCATGGGGGTGTTAGGGTCTCAGCAGAGCTAACACAAGTATTAAGGTGCACTAAAGGGAACCGTTCATCCACGTATAGACCACATAATAGGGATCAGCTAAACAGACATACCTGGTAGGTGAAGGAAATCGGTGAACCGACATGGACCGGAACTAAATCAGTATTCATTAGCACAACCTTGATAATCTGATTGCCATTGTATTCTACGGTGAAATCCTTATGTGTCCAGATATATGTTTCCGCATGGCCAGCAGACTCCCCTAAGACGCTCCAGATCGGTAGATCATCCATGTACATTTGGTACCAGTACTGGTTGGCTATGGCATTCTGAAGAGAGGCGTAGACACCATCATCGACATTCAAGGTGCAGACGGGAGTTTTTGTCACGTTAACTGCGGAAAAATATAAGATTGACTCCCAACAATGAGCGCGAATATGACCATAACGTATAGTGAAAGTGCACACATAACGCACAATTGGCCAAGTGTTAATTTGATGAAAATGCCTGGATTAAACAGAAGACGGTTACGGTGGTATCGCACGAAGTCATTACCAATCTAATTAGTGAGATCTGCTCATCAGTCCGTTGAACGGGGTTGGATAGATTAATATTTCGAAAGCTATCGTAGTCTTCTCCTCCGCACCTTAAGAGAGACGATCACAAACAAAGCAAGATTCAGAAAGGCAGAAGCAAAAGAGCACCACTAAGCTACCAAGAAAACCCCTCATGGTTGAATGCATAAGGAAATTTGTTCGATATCACCACTCTGTTCTTACGTGCAGATGATTCCGAAAAATCCTGCACAACATCCGTTAAAGATGTCATGTTCCGTGCATGCTGCAGTGAAGCTTCAAACACGGGGGAAGAATGCAAACCTACAAGGAACCACATAATACCTGAATTGAATGATGACTTAATTGAACCACTGTCACAAATCGTTTGCAGATCGTAGGAGAGGACGCAACATTCAAAAGTTAGCCAAATTATCATCACTTTAGACTAAATAAACTGGTTCTAACTCAAAATGATGAACAAAGGGTGTACTCAGATAGTCAGCCAAGCCATGGAATTGATAAACCTGGCACCTGTTGGGTTTCGATATGCGTCCGATGATCCCATAGGTTAGGACAAGTCTCCCGCTAGTTTTCAAAACTACTCTTCTAGTTGGTCTAAGCAACCAGTGTCGTTCAAAAAACATTGTGTGCACATGAATACAACGAGCATCTGTGCAAGGTTTGCATAACACAAACTTGAATCACGGCAGTCTTGAGACCGTGATAATTTTATGGAAGCTGTGTAATGCCAGACAAGGCTAGCGACAAAGACAATCAAGTGCACCCATTAAGTAAGCAGCGAAATAGGAAAATAAATAAAAGCGAGAAATAGTTAGGGACAAACCTTTGAAACGGATATCAATACCGCTATATTGCAGTTCAATTCCTAAAAGTGCTTCACCCAAAGTTTCATGTGCATGCTCAATCGACTGCTTGGGTCCACGACAAAGTGGAAGTGAATAGAACGGGTAAGTTTCCTGTCGATTCCGATAAGGGCCAATTGTGTTCATCCATAATACCACTTCTTCACCATCGTTATACTATGGGGAAGCAAAATAACACAGTGGACGAAATAACGCGGCGGACAAAGCAGCCCTCAAATGATTACACAAGACAATCGACGGATGAGAATACTCATAGCGAAAAGTGGTCCACAACGGAAGTGCTCCAGCACTCAGACAACCACCTGGACTCCGGCATCAGCGATTTATTTATGTGAAAACTGAGTTTTGAACTCCGAAAATCTTAGCAGCAATGAACTACATACCACTAGCGTGCATTGGATGAGACTTAACGCTAACTAGGACAAAATGAAGAGAGCGGATAATCTAGGGTGTGCCCTTAAGTGGGGTTTGATTCCCTTCTCAATTTACAGATTGCTCCTTCTCAGACCTGGATGACCTAAAGCCTCTAAAAATAAACCTACCGTGATTATGCACCATAGAAGCAGCAGGATAAGAATATACACTACTGTTTATGACAGTGGCAATGAAGCGAAGCCACGACTTGAGTTAAAGCCTACGCGGGTACTTAAAACACCTATGATGAAAGACAAACTGCAGGAACCGCATTGCAGAAGAGTGAAATCGGCGTTGTCTGGTATTTCCCATTTATAAAAGATGCCATCTAGTGCACTCGAACGCTTGCACAATTCAGAATATTGCTTAATCGGAGGTGTGTACGAAAAGGAAACCAAAACCAGGGCCATCAAAAAGTTAATCCCTTATCATTTTATGGCCGGAAACAAATTTTAAAAAAACTAGGGTTAGTGAATAGGACTTTTAGCGGTATTACTTGTGTCCCGGTTCAAACTAATAACTTCAGAAGATGCATTTTTAACCGTCGGAAAATTGACCCACAACGAGAACGCAGTACTTGCAATGCAAAAATTAGGACTTTCAGAATAGTTTCTTCCTTTGAGGCAGTTCTAAAATGGAAGTTTCCCATGAAGAGGAGACACTGCATATGAGTTTGAATATATACAAGAGTGAAACAAGAAACGCATAAATCTTTCGTGAAACCTACTACTGATGATGAGGAACGGTGAAAACTGGTTAAAGCCTCGAGGGCCGATACTATATCTCAAGATTCTGGAGAACTCGTCCGGCGAATTATGTCCTTAAGGGCAGTGATCTAGTATATCTCAATCCACAGAAACTAAAATTGTTCAGTCGTTGGTGTACGCAGGTTGCTTTAAGGGAACTGTTGGTGTGAAGAGACGGTGAACTGTAGCAGGTAAAACCAACAGCTTTAGCCACACTAGTGTAACCACTGTACGGCAAGTACGCGGTTATTACAGCTGACAATGATGATGAAACTTAACAGCAATGTGAAGAGTGAATTCCTGCCAGGACGATTAAGTTGTTCAAAATAGCTGCCAAGTCCATGTTTCCAAGTCGTCCGGGTTTCGCAGTGCACGAAATCGAGCTAGGTCATGTGAGGTCAACTAAAACGTTGACCAGGAACGGTCTCGAAGCTCCAAAGTTTTAGGATGAGCCGGTGGTCAAGTAGGTGGACAGATAAAGGAGATGAGGGTGACAATGTGATGCAGTGCTCAATGAGCGCCCATCCAAGTTAGCATTGTCAACACAATGTGTGCGGACGGCGTGCTTCCGAACTAGCCACAGCTAAGAGGAATAATTCTTCGGGCTGTTTCCCATTAATCTTTCTGGTATGGTTGAACCCTAGGGAACTGAGTTCCATCCAGTGTAGTTGACAGGATTCTTGCCCGACTATACGGATCAGAAACCCGGCCGCTGCGCGCCGAGTACACCAAAGGACTTTCAGTGATTGATCATCAATGTCTTTGGAGCATTGCCTGGGGCTGGTTGGAACACCGGATCAGCAATGCTGAAGTACGTCGAAAGGAATTCGGAAGAAATAACTCACCCTCGATAGATGAACCGCATGGCGTATGTATGCCAGTAGACCGACTTCCTCGAAGGACTGTTTTAACACAAACACGTGAAGGATGGGAACGAACCAGAGGCGGCCAAACAATGACTTCGCAGCGAAGTATAAAAACCATTACCAGCAAACTCAGCTGCGCTGGTCATTGCCGTCTTCCTGGAGGGTGACCCAGAGATAGGCCACATCAACTGTTAGACATTGTCAGACATGGCCCGGTCGCACCCTCAATGGTGCTCATGCATCCAAGCTATTGCCTTCAATTCTAGCTCCCTTCCCAATCCTCCCACTTGACAGTAATGTATTTGCGTACTAATTAATCAGCTCCCGCCTCCAATGCGCAGCTACCTACCCCACCTCCCCAAATCATCAGTGAACGAAATTATGGCAGCTACAACCACTGTACAACCAGTACGCGGTTCTTACAGCTGACAATGATGATGATGATAATGCTGCTCAAAAGACACTTGCTGTGCGCAGTTGTATTGGAAGTCAGACAGTTACGCCTTACTCCTTGCGCTCTCGGGTCAGGCTAGCTCTCAATAGCCAAGTGGATTAGCCAATTAGGTCACCGGTCTAACTGTCATGTCACCCTATGGAAGCACGAGGGCTGAAATACTGTCAAGTTTCCCAAGCCTAGGCAGAGGTCAGGTTCGGACCATGAACCTTCTGGTCAGTAAATTCGCGCTCGAACCACCGAGCACACAAACTTTCAGCACAAGCAATAACACCACCAACTGCAAAGTAACCGTGTAATCAGTTGGACTATGCAGCAGGAAGTAACCGGTGCAGTGCTTCAATACAAGATTTTTGCTCATTTTGGAGCACATCTCTGGGCTACGACCACGGCATTGTGCGGGTACGTATATCTTCACTTCCCACCTGGAATGTGCCGGTTGGTGCAAATGTAATCAGTTCACTACCTACAAAGCGTGAGTGTAGCTCAACAATACCGAGGTGGGTTAGCTGGCAAGCTCCCAGAACTCGGTGGAAACAATGCTAATTCGGATAGACTGGAGAAAGATTAAGTGTTCCATGATCACAGCTTTTGAAACTGCTTGTCAGAGGTCCCTCACACGCCCCAACGAACACTAGATCTCGCCACGATCAGCAGATCTGATTGAGGCCAGGAAAAATATACCGGCAACAAACCACTATGGCGTGTAAATATCCCTCAAACGCCGAATAACGCTGCTTGAGTATTCTTTATCTACCTGAAAACACCTCAGGGGTCGAAATACCACAGGGGTGTTCGATCACTTGAATCGAGTTGAGCGACGATATTGCTCTCTTTGGACCAGTAGTTTTAGAAACACAAACTATTTTAAGTAACCTAAGTAATTCCGCCACGCAGTTCGGTAGGCACTTCGCACTTATTAAGTGTAAAGTGCTGCTGCAAGATTAAGTAGCTTCAAACCCGAAACTCATGCTGGCAGGTGGACAGATCGATGTGGCAGATAAGTCCGTTTTTTGGGCGGTTGAATAGGTCCAGGCGGTCTGGTGAAAGAGAAACCGCTACCCGAATTGGGAAGGCCAGTGCAGTGATTGCTAACCTCCAACGTTTGTGGCCCCGTAACATAACATAAGCTCGACTGTCAATGGTAGAGTGTACAATTCCACGAGCTGATCCGTTCTGCCTTATGGATCGGAGATATGGTCCCTGCGTGTGGAAGACCTGTGAAAACCCTCTACGTTTGACCGTCGGTGCCTCGCATGGTGCGAGCCTGGTGAGAACATCGCAAAATTAATACCTATTTACGCTAGAAGGTCTTCGGGAAAGCTAATTCTCCCTCGATTATATAAGCGGGTGACACTCCATAGGTCACGCTGGTTAGGACACATGCCTCTACTGCCAGAGGACCCTCTTCGCCCAGCCTTGTGTCGGATAGAAATGACCCAGGGACAATCAGTCTAGGAATTGGCAACAAAGCATGAAAGCCCTTACTAGCCAGGTTAGTCGCGTTGGTAACCGCCATCTCCTTGAATGGAGACCGTGGGACGAGAAAAACCAAAGGTCGGTGACTCTGGCAGACATGGTTGTCACGCAGCCAATGGCATCCTTTCATCAAAGCCGTCTTCCCCACTGAGGTCTCATTTTTGCCATTGTGGACGAAGATAACCGTTCGACGTCAACGAATTCACTGGGACATAACCATTTCCTGACTCTCATTCCTTTTTTCACAACCTCGGTGAATGAAACAGTAGCAGCTGCAACCACTGCATTTCGACGCACGGTTTGTGAGCCACAAAACTGAACCTGAATGTGTGGGCGCTTTAGAATGCTTTCGATAGACCAGAACAGGTCTCTCT